TCCTACTATTGTATTTTGGGAACAGAAAAGATAACTTGCTTTCTAGTTTCATGGGTCAAGAGAAGGAGAAGAACTTTGCACCAGAGTAGATCATACTAAGAGTTCCATACTTGATTTAAATAAGATTTGTAACTATCAAACTGATGTTAAAGTAAGGGCTTTGAACTTCAGTTGATACTGTGTTGAGTTAAAACATTGCAGGGGGTGGGTATTGGGAGGCATATATGTGTTTTGCACTTGGGGTGGTTGTGGATCTTTGGACATCAAAGGCTGTGTACTGTTGTCAGCTAAATAATGCCTCCCTTCAAAAGATATGCATGCCCTCCTAGAACTTGTGGATATACCTTAGATGGTAACAAAGAAAAAAAAAAGGAAAAAAGAAAAATGGATTTTGCAGATGTTCTCAAAAGACTTTGAGAAGGAGAGATTATCTTGGACTACACAGGGGGCCCTAGTTATCATCAAAAGTGCCCATATAAGTGGGATACAGCAGTACATTTGACACAGAAAAGGGTAAGGAGAGCGGAGATTGGAGTGAGGTAGCCACAAGCCAAGGAATATTTGCAGTCATCAAAAGATGGAAGAGGCAACAGTTTCTTCCCTAAAATCTCTGTAGGGAGCAAAGCCCTACCGATACCTTGATTTTGGTTTTCTGGCCCCTAGAAGTGTGAGAGAATACATTTCTTATTTTTTAAGTTCTGATTAGCGATCATTAGTTACAATAGTCACAGAGAACTAATATAAATGGCTTGGGCATAAATTTGGGGGCTGTTGGAGGGACTTAAGTTTATGCTTGGGGGTTATCAAGGCACTTGAGGATATCACTGGGGACTATTGAAAAGTGTTGGGGTGCTTTTGGAGCCCTCTAAGGGAAGATTGAGCTAGGGTTGGGGGGTCATTGGATGGTGGCTTGTAGGTGTAGTTGGGAGATAAATGGGCATATTTACAAATAAACTTGGAGACTATTCTAGGACAATTTAGGGTATAGTTGGGAATTTTGAGAGTGTAGTTTTAGGGTGTGTGGTTGGTAAAAATCAGAAGACATTTTGTAAGAATAGCTGCATGTAATTCAAGACAGGGTTGGACATGGAGGTCATTGAAAAGTGATTTGAGAGCCTCCATGGTGGCACAGATGTCAAGTCTCAGCATTATGGAGCTGTCAACAATCACTGAAGTATGAGTTCCATCCCGGGCCAGGGAGCTGACCCACATGGTGCAGCAGACCTCCCCTGTCTCGCCTGCTGCTCCCCTCAGCAGTATATTTCAGTAGGACCCTACTGTTCTGCTCCCTACTCTGTCTCTGGTGAAACCTCTCACCTCTGCACCTCTGGCGTACACCCCTAGCTCTTGTATGTATAAATAAATAAATCTTTAAAAAATAAAAAAAATAAAGATTTATTTACTTATTTATGCACATGGTGTGCCATGTGGGTCAGTGCCCAGGCCCGGGATCGAACTCGTGCTGCAGTGGCTGCCAATAGCTCCATAGTGCTGAGACTTAACTTCTTGTGCCACCAGAGTGTCTCAATAAGATAAAAATTTTTTTTAAAGAATTTTTAAAGAAACATGATTTGAAAGCCTGGTTTGGGGCTGCAGCTTTGGGACCAAAGGAAGGTAGTTAAAAGGTATCTAGAGAAAGTGTTGAGCATTATTGGAAGAGGAGTTTTAGGAGTGAGGTTTGTAACTGTTGGAGAGGACTTTGGAATGACAGTTGGATGTAGTTTGAGGGCCTGTCTTTGAGTCTGGACGTCAGAAGGTTATTATGAGCTATAGTTGGGGGGCTATGAGGCAGGGCAGCAAGGGGGCACCAAAAGTGGCCAAGGACACTGCCCAAATAGTTTACGGGTCACTGTCTGAGTTGTTCACCCGCACACATAATTGCAATACTACTAAGGCTCAGAGAACAACAACAAAGGGATTTATTTAACAAACTGGGGAAAAGCAAAGAGTTACTGAGACCAAAAATGGCCATTTACCTCACCTGATGCCGGTCCAGTGTTTTTTAGTCCTAAGCAAAAGCTGCTAAAATGGCATCTTCCCACCAGTGAGGATGAGTTTCCCCTCTCCTCAACAGTAGGCCAGGTGTCCAAGATGGTGTCTTTCTGCCACTGCATGCACAAGGCAGCTGGACTATAGGCCAGGTTCCAACTCACTAAGACAGCAGAAAATACAGCAGAAGATGCTTCATGCTGATGAGATTCCCCAGGAGTGGTTGAATGATGCAACAAACAGCCACACTCACACGATATCTCAATAAGATGCCTGGCGGGGGATCTCTGCCTTCTCTGGCAGGCACAACAGTAGCAAAACCAGCAAACAGTTCCAGTTACTCAGCCTACTTGTAAAGCCTCAGTACTTTTGTCTCTGAGGTTGGTTGCTGGAGGCGTCCAGCTTTAGGCTCACGACTGCCTTCTGGAAGATCAGTGCAGCGGTGTGTGTGTGTATGTGGGGTGCTGAAATCCACTAACCCCAAATGCTGAATTCTGGAGACTGAATGAATCCACATCCCTTTCTGCAGTTGCTTATATTTCTTAGTGGTTGCCCCACTCCAAAATTTGATGCTTTTAAGCATTTTTCCTGGGGCTGTCTATCCTCACCAGCAACCCCTCCAGGGGGCACCACCTGTAACAGTCTAGGGCTTTAACCAGAGGGTACACTATTAGTATGTGATTTGGGGAGCAGTTGGAAATCATTGAATGCCATACTATTCATCAATAAAAGGAACTAATCCCTGGTACACATTATGCTAGGGGCCTCTTTGGTCATGCAGGGGTTAAAGTCTCAGCGTTATCAAGCTATCACCAGCCACTGTGGCATGAGGATATAAGTTCAACCCCAGCCAGGGAGCTAACTCACTTGGCTCAGCAGACCTCCCCTGTTTTGTCCCACCCACTCCTTTAGGCCATGTATTTCAGTAGATCCTGCCTGTTCTGCTCCCCACTCTGTCTCTGGTGAATCACCTCACCCCTTACCCCACCCCTGCACCTCTGGCCTACACACAAGTTCTTGTATGCATAAATAAATAAATCTTTAAAAACAAGCAAGCAAACAGCAACAACAACAACAAAAAACATTATGCTACGTGAAAGGAGCCAAACATAAAAAATCCACATATTGCATTTATATGAAATGTCCAGAAAAGGTAAATCTATAGAGACAGAAAATATATTAGCAGTTGCTTGGGACTGGGAATGAGGAGTAACTGTATTTGGGCAAGAAGGATTTTTTAAAAAGATTTATTTATTTATGCACACAAGAGCTGGGGTGCAGGTCAGAGATGTGGGAGGGTGAGAGGATTCACCAGAGACAGAGTGGGGAGCAGTGAAATACACTGCTGAGGGGAGCCGTGGGCGAGATGGGAGAGGTCTGCTGCACCATGTGGGTCACCTCCCTGGCTGGGGATTGAACTCGTGCTGCAGTGGCTACAGCAAGATGGTTGGTGATTATTTAGAGGTATAGTTGGAGAACTGTTGGAAAGTAGTTTAGAGATAATTTTCCATCAGCAGAGTGTGGTCTGGAGGTGGAAAGAGTATTGGAGGGTAATTGGAAGTGCAGTTAGGGACCACACATAAGAGTACTAAGAATAGGGCCTTCCTGGTGGCACAGGGGTTAAAACTTTAATGCTATTAAGCTATGGTGGCACAGGGGTTAAAGCCTCAGTGCTATCAGGCCATGGCCAGCCACTGTAGCATGAGTTTGATCCCTGACATGAGTTTGATCCCCATCCAGGGAAGTGACCCACATGGCCCAGCAGAACTCTCCTGTCTCTTCCCAGCCACTGCTCCCCTCAGCAATTTATTTCAGTAGACCTACCTGTTCTCTGGTGAATCCTCTCACCCCTGGCACCTCTGGCCCATATCCTAGTTCTTGTATGCATAAATAAATAAAGTAAATATTAAAAAAAGAGTAGTAAGAGTAGTTGGGAGTATAAGGACACTGATAAGGGCTGTTAGAAGGTAGTTTGTGGGGGGAGGGAGCTAATGAAATGCAGTTTAGTGTATGGGTTCATGGAGCATGGTTCAGAGGTAGAGCAGGTGACTACTGGAGTTTATTTGGGGTACAGGTGGGGCCCATACCAAAGGTACTTGAGAATGTTTGGGGTGGTATTGGAGGTCCTAGGTCATCAGTAATGTTGAGATGGCACATGAGAGTTGTTTGGGGTGAATGGAGTCTGTTTTGAGGCATGTTGGGGAAGCTGGAGGGTGATTTGGAAGTGCTCTTTGGAGGTTAATGTTTTCAGGGATGACTGCAGATTGTTTTGGGAAACAACTTGGGGTTTGTGGATGGTAGTTCATCAGTGGTTTGGGTGTCAGTGGAAGGCAGTGTGGAGGTATTGTTTGGGATCAATAATTTGGGGATACAGTTTGGGGGATGATGAGATTTGGAGAATAGGTGGTTTGGGAGTCGAAGTTCAAGGTAAATGGAGAATGATTTGGAAGGTAATGGAGTGTTGTTTGCTGGTAGCTTGGTGATTCTGTGGGTAGTCATTCTGGGTGCAATTTTGATGTCATGGTAGGTAATTTAGGATTAGGGTCAATATAGTGATTTGGGCACAACTCGGAGGCAAGGAGGATGGTTTATTGGTTCAGCTTTGCTATTCATTGACTTGGGGTGAAGGCTCTGCCTGGAATCAATGGACAATAGTTTGGGAATACAATTTGGGGTATCAGGGAGGGTGGCTTGGGGTGCATTGGGGGAGCAGGAAGGGTAGTTGATGGACTTCAGAGGTGTGGTGAAGACGGATAATCAGTCGTAAGGAGAACGGGTTAGAGTGACTTTGGGTGAGGGGCGCCATCTGATCATTGAGGGGGCGTGGCCTCAGAAGGGAAGAGCTCCGCGGGCCTCGCGATAGCGTGTGCGCACGCGCTCCTGGCGTGTTCACTCCCGGCACTCTCAAGGCAGGAAAAACGGAGACTGGAGCTTGGCGCCTGCGCACTTCGTCTGCGCCGCTGCTGTGGTCTCGCGCCCCGCCCCCCGCTCCCCCCAACCCCCAGGCTCGCGCTCCGCGGCCGAGGTGGTGGTGCCGCGGGGAGGGAATTGACTGGAGTTCAAGGCGGGGGCCTGGGTCCACCGAGCCGGGGCTCCTCTCTTCCCTCCTTGCGCTCCCCCGTCTGACCCCCTCGACTAAGTCTAGCCCCCTCGGCTAACAGTCGCGCAGCTGAACGTGGCCCACAGCAGGAAAGGGGAATAGGCGCGAGCCCAGGGACGAGGGGGTGGGGGTTCGCAAAGGAGGGGCGCGCCCACCAGTCTCCCCAGCCTTCACCGACCCCGCCTACACCGCGGGGCGAGGACCCTTGGTGAGTAACGCCCGCTTGGGGAGGAAGGGAGGAGATAGGGCGGGGTGAGGGCCCGGAAACGCGGAGGGGGGGAATGGACCTGCGCGCGCACTACGACCTCTGACCCCGTGGTCTTGGCGCTGGACCACTTCTGGACCTGACTACCTTTAAAAAATCGCGAACCCCGGGCAATCTTGGCCTCAGGGCACCCAGTCTGGTCGCTGACCTAACCGTGTTCGGCTTGGTATGATCCTCAACCCCTGTCTTGTCCCGCTAAAACCCACTCCTGATCCCAGACCCCATGTTCTTAGGATCCTTGACTTCACCCCAGATCCTTGCCTTCCTGTTCTATCTCTGAAGCTCTTCTTGTTTTGTCCTGATCACCCTAATTTCTGTCCTGATGCTTGACGGTGTGTTTCTTAAACTCTTGTCCACTCTGAACCCTTCCAGTCATGTCTTGTCCCTCTAACACCAATCTGATCTAGGTCTGTCCAAATTCCTGACCTCTAACTTACCTACTTTGTCCCCACCCTGCACTATCTACCCAGTCCTTTGATTTGTCCTACCTGGCTCACCACCTATAGACCCCACCCCCTAGCCCGTAGTTTTTCCATCTTCTCTTGTCCCAACAAAGTCCTCATTCCGATCCTCATTCTGTCCTTGTCTTTTCCTGCTCCTTACCTCCATTTTAACCCTGCCTTTTCTCCAATCCCTTCCCTTGACCGCTGTCTCGGTCTGTCCCCAGTCATGTCTTTTGACTAGTTCTGTACTGGTGATGACCCCTGCCCTGCTTTTTTATGCCCTGCTGTCCCTCATTTTTCTCTAACTCTTGTCCTGAACCTGACTCCACACCATCAGATAATCCTGGCTCATTCTCTGTCCTGTCTCCTGACCATCATCCTACAATGACTTGCTTTGTAGTCTTTTTTCTTTTCTGTTCCTTAATTCCTTCCCATCCTCATGCCCCCATTTGACTCTTCCATGCCCCTCCAACCTGTTCACATCTCCCTCCTGCCTAACACTCCCTCTCTGAGCCCAGGACAGTGATCCCATTATTCCTTGCCCCTGGATTCAGATGTTCAGCTGTTGCTGTTACCTCTGAAGTTCATCATAAAGGCTTCTCTTAGCATGAACCAGAGCATACAACCTTGTGGGACCTGTGTAGCGGGTGGGGTTTTGTACGTGATTCCCCATCCCCACTCAGTGATCTTACACAGAGCTTGCATTTCTTTCCCTGCCCCAGGAGAGCATGGAACTGTTCTTGTGCCCCCTATGCTCCCTATGTGTGAAAGAACACCCTAAATTATTCAATGGCTCTCTGGGAGTCTGTGAGGTCTGGATCATGTTTCCAGCCTTGCTAGGTTGGGGCTACCCATGTCAGGGGAGGGAGGGGACTTGGCTATGTGTGAATCTTCTAAGTCATGTTACCCCCATCTCCTGCTCTTCATCTTCAGTGCATGATCCCTATTTTCCTAGTCTGAAATAAAGCTCATTCTAGGCTGAAGACTTTAGGGCTTGGTAAGGGTGGAATGGGATCAGGGGTTCCTCCCCCCTTCCAAAAGTAACCAATCCAAATCTTGGTGCTAATTCATTTCACCTCCATGGAAAAGGTCATTGTGGGTGAGGGCTGGTGTTAGAATCAGGCCCATCTGGTGGTAACATTTACACCATGAGGTTCCCTCTCTGTCTGAATCTGCTTGATTTTGTGGACAGATGAAAATTTGAATAGCATAGAGGTAAATGTGTAATTCAGTTATGTTCTATGCCTACATTTCTCATAGAGACTAATGAGAGTTTGAATAATGAGATACCAGGCCCATGCCATTTATCTCAGACATTTATCCAAACCTTTTAATAACAACACAAACTTCTCTTACTCCTAATCTGTAGCTGAGTTCTGAGAGGGAGAATTCAGATAGTTCAGATTGGGCAAGATACCGAGTTATGTGAAGGTATTTTGTGTTTACATAGTAGTGAGAATTCAGATAATGAGGGCTAGGTCTCTAACTCAAATGTTCATGTTTTCAAATCTTCCTTTTTCCTGACCTGTGCTGGCAGGGGGTAGGGTAGTGCGGATAAAATGTATATGGTTTCTGCGTTTTGCCTTGTGAGTAAAGAAAATAGAAAGAAAGGGAGGGATACCAATTCTGTCTGAAAAATGTATACAAATCCATTCATTTGCTGTATTTGGATAGTGCAAGTTTATCTGAATATCTCTGGTTCCTGCATTTTTTTTTGATGCTGAGTAGGGAGAGGTGGAATGAGGGGCAGTGTTTCTGTTGCAAAAATGTTTGGTTTGGTGAGCAGTGAGAGTTGTGTGTCTGGGTAGCAAGTAGGGAGGGTTTGGAGGTTGGGGGATACCACCTCTGTCTCAGAAAGACATCTGACCACATTTAATTACTGATTTTGGATATGGAGCTTTGGACAAATTATTCAAGGAAAAAACAGCCCCATTTCAGATGTCTCAGATGAGGCTGAGGGATACCTGCCCTGTCTCAGAAAACTGTACTATTTGAGTCATGAGTTTGGATTGGGTGGGATACTTGTAATTGTGACACTGCCCTGTGCCAACTTCATATGTGTTAACTCATGTGCTCACAACCACCCTGTGAGGTACATACCATTATCATCATCCCCATTTTATAGATGAAGACATTGAGGCACACAGAGGTTAAATGCCTTTTTCAGGCAGTCACACAGCCAGTAAGTGGCAGAGCTAGGTTGGATTCCAGACCTAGCACTTGCCAACTCTCTGAGAGGGTCAGGCTCCTAGATGCTAGTCAACTTCTAGGCTGGTAAAGGTCATGGACCAGAGCCTCCCTGGTGGCACAAGGGGTTAAGTTCCAGCACTATCAAGCTATTGGCAGCCTGAGTTTGATCCCCAGCCAGGGAGCTGACCCCCATGGTGCAGCAGATCTCTCCTATCTCACCTGTTGTTCCCCTAGGCAGTGCATTTCAGTCAGTCTGCCTGTTCTCCTCCCCACTCTGTCTCTGGTGGATCCTGTCAACCTCCATACCTCTGGCCTACACCCCAGCTTTTGTATGCATGAATAAATAAATCTTAAAAAATTAAAATAGGAGTCATGGACCAGAGTGATAGGTATGTGGGTGACTCCACATTACTTGCTCTCCACTTTGCCCCTCCACAGTAGCCCACCTCTGAGTGAGTTTATTGTTGTTATTGACAGCCATTAATGAGGTGGTATCAGTTTCTTGAAATACCTTTTGAAGTGACTTTGGCTTCTCTTGGCTCTCTAACCGGTTACAGTTTTACAGATGAGGAAACATAATCTTTGAGACTCAGTCTGCTTCGCCAGATTCCCTTGTTCCTCTGGTTTAGATTTTATAAATATTCTTTTCCCAACATCCTTGGTGTCCCACGAGAGGCAGGAGGGGCTGTGCTGAGTAGAAGACCGGTCTCACCAGCACCTCACTGCCCACCTTGGCACTACACCTCCGCAGCCCCGGGCAGTGAAAAGGGAGGGGGGATGAAAGGGGCCTTTGTGTCCCATGCGGAAATCTCACACCCAGGAAGAGAGGTGGGCAGGATGGTGGAGGCCTCAATAACATGTATGTGGGGCACTGCTGACACGGGGACTCCTCTCTTGGCCCACCTGCCAAGGGGGGAGGGGCCTTTCCTCTCGCTGCCCTTTCACATCATGGCACAGGCTGCTGCAGGGGCCTGGCTTGGGCCTTGGGCCCTGAGGTCACAGAGCAGATGGTTCCAAATGGAGCACAGGATGTGTGTGGTGTGTGCCGGGGCAGGCCCAGCTGGTGTTGTAGGGAAGCAGTATGTCACAGGGACTCAGAGCCCTTCATTTTTGGCTGGCATGAAGCCGGCTTCTGACCAAAAATGCCCCAAGGAGGGAGGAATGGGGGAGACCCAGCTTAGATGTGAAGCAGCATGAGTCTCCTCTCCCACTCCTCCCTTGCAGGAGTAACCTCTGTCTGCCACCGACCTGGGACCTAGCCCCCCCCTCCCAGCCTGGATTCTACGTGCTTTTATGCCCCTGTGAGCTGAATCAGGCCTCTTCACTTCTCTGAGCGCCAGCTTCTACATCTACTGGCTGGCTATGAAGAGCTGGGTCTACACCATCACCCCAGGTTTGTAAGGGGCAGGAGGGGTTAAAACAAGTGTGTGCTTGGTCAGTTTTCTGGGATGACCGCTTCTGGAGCTGCTTAAGGTGGTAGGGTCTTGAGACCTGGTCTCTTCTTAGAAAAGTCTACTCCCTCTGTCTCCCTCTGGGAAACCTTTACCCCTGTGTGGGTGGGAGTTGCCTTAAGACCTTCTCCCATCCCTGCCTTGCCCTGGAAGGAGAGGGTAAGGGCCTTAGGAATGTGATACGTGCTGCCAAGAGACCCAGGAGGCCTCCCCTGCGCTTAGCAGCTCCCAGATCTCCACCCCTAGCTCCCAGGTAAGATCCATGGGCGGGTTGGGTGGGCAGGGTCTGACCTGGGAATTTGGGCAATCGGAGAGGTAGTTGCCACTCACACGACCCTTAGTCCTTCTTTTTCAGTTCTCTGCTAGGTGTATGGATTTGGGGAGGGGTGTCCAGACTGTCTTCTGGGCCATGCCGAACACCCTGAGGGGACCTGGTCCCAAGACTGCCCCTAAGGGTGGCTTGAGCCCTGGTGACAGGCAGGCAAGGGTTAAAAGGTACGGCCGCCCAGCCCTGGCCAGGTAGGCTGGGCCACTGCCTAGTGGGAGGCGGCCTAGACATCAGCCTCAGTGCTCAGCTCACTGCCACTACCAGCTGGAGCCGAGCCTGGGTGAGACAACTATTTTTTGGCGGACCCTGAGGCCACCTACAACACCTCTCTGGCATTGGTAAGCACTTGGGAACAGTGGGTGAAGGATGGGGTTAAGGGGTATGGGACATACTAACTTCCTTGTGGTGGTGAGGGTGGGAGGGAGAACACAGAACCAGGTCTGTGCCTGTTTGAGGGAGGACGGGCAGGCCTGAGTGAAGAGTGAATCCCAAAATGTCCAAGTTCTTTTCCTGACCTGAAGCCGATTCCTTGCCGGAAATGGATGAAGGGAAGAGATGGGGAGAAAAGGAGCCAGACTCTCTTCTCTGCTCCCTCACTTCCTTATACTGGCCTCACCTGAAGGAGCAGCCTCTGACCTCCCTTTGCTCTGGGCCCAGGCCTCCAGGAAAGCCCAGAGCAGGCTATTGAGTAACTGCTTCCCGGCACCTGCCTGCCTGCTCCCCCCCCCCATCTGTTCACTTAGAGCTGGGGCAGGGGGGCCCTTTGAGTGTGTGGAGAGCAGTTCCAGATACCTGGAATATGTATTTGCTCTGATGGTGGCAGGATGTAGAAATGGGGTCCTACTGAGGGTGTTGGGGTGCCACCCAGGTGAGGTATCTTAGTTGTAAACAGTCATTACGGCCAGGAATTTCTTTCTCGGCTGTGGTGTCAGAAGGGCAGACCTGAAAAACCTGCTGGGCCCGCCTCTGGGTGTGGGGGGGTGCCATCTGTAGCTCTCCTACTGCAGTCCGTCCTGTCCGGGACATGGCTTCTGTCTAGTGGGGAGACCCAGGGGCTGGTTTCCCCGGTGGGGGTGAGGAGGGGATAGTGGGGAGAAGGCTGCTGGGATCCTCCTTCTTGCCCTCTATGTGGGAGAGGGGTCACCCTGCACCCCAAGGCAAATGTGCAAAGGGCAGGCGAGCAGAAAGAGCTGAGGCTGAGGTTTGGGAGCTAGGTGTGGGGGTGTGGGGCGTTGACCCTGAGTCTAGCCTGCCCAGTGACCCCATGACTCAGGCTTGAGTTATGTCCCCAAGGTCAGGCTGTGAGAGCGGAGTCAGGGTTCCTGTCTGGATTCTGTGTTGACTTCCCACAAGGCCATAAACTTCCAGAGAAGGAAGGCTCAGGGCAGTCCAGTTTGGGATGTGGGACCAGTCCTGGTGAATGGGCCCATGGGAGAGGAGTTGAGGTTCCTGGTGGGGTGGAGGAAGGTTTAGAGAATTCCTCAAACCCAAATAGGGCCAGGGGAAGGAGCCCCATGATCCAAGGGAACAGAAGAGGCTGAGCTGAGCCCTCAAGGAAGCCCTGGCATGCTGGGCAGCATTGGCCTTGCAAGGCGGGCCTATGCGGGCCTCTGGAAGGCAGGGCTGCTGCTGGAGCTACAAAAAGGCTATAGGGACTGACCCCGCCCTGATGGCGAGGGAGAGATACCAATCCTAGGGGACAGTAGGAGGACTGCCGAGAAGCTGGCGACACAATGTCAGCATGGATGGGAGAAGGGCTTCTGCCCCTGTCCCCACTGTTGCCCGGGTCTTCCCCACACCCGGCCATCATCTGGCTATCATCTCAGCTGTGGATTTCAAAGTAGGTGGGGATAAGACCTTGGTTGCCTTGTGAGGCCCTCCCTGCACCTGCCTCTGAGGTCAGGCCAAGTGGTAGGAGGTGATGTCACCTGGCTTCCCAGCTGGGGACTAAGCAGGATATGGGAGGGAGGGAACAGACTCTAGAGAAAGGCGCGAAAGCAGGGCTGGCGGCCAACCAGGCCAGGCTTCTGGTCAGTGAGGGTGTCTGGGGGCAGAGAAGGAGGCCTGGCTGCCTGGGGAACTTATGAGGAGTTGTTGGGATTGGAGCAGCTCCATGAAGGATTGTGGGTAGGGGTGGGAGGGCCTAGGCTACATGCTAAGCCATGGGCAGCTTATTTTACTTCTATGCCTTCCTTTTCTCTCTCTAACATGGGAGTGATAATCATCACAGAACTTCTGTCATAGGGGCGTTATGAAGGTTACATGTCCTGCGGAGGGTTACTGTTTCTGGTCTCCAGGTGCTTAGCAAATGCCGCTGTTACGGTTAGTTGAATCTGTACTGTGAATTCTCCCTCCCCAGGCGAGACTCCTGACTGTGGCCTATGGGCCTCTGAGGAGGCGTTGTAAGTCCGCCCGGCTCCCCACTTGCTGTGCTCCCACTCAATGGGTAGGGAACCAAGGTACTAGGGCTCGGTGGGTGCAGACACACACAGATTCCGAAAGGGCAGGTCAAGCAGGTGGGTGGGATCAGGGCACACCTTCTTCCCAGTTGGGGTGTGGGAAGCTGGATAGGGGCAGGGGCTGGGGGAATCACAGAATGTGATCCTCAGTGGCTCCTGTGCCTCACTGCCAGGCCTTGTCCAGCCATCAGCCCCGGCCTCTTGGCAGCACCAGGATGGAAGTCAAAGGTCAGCTGATCAGCTCTCCCACCTTCAATGCTCCAGGTCTGTGACTGTTTCCCTCTCCTGCTACCTCGTCCCCTCCTCTGAGTCACCCCTGCCCACTTGGGAAGGGTTGACCCTTGGCCCTGCAGGTTGCCTGCTTTCCCATTAATCTTACCTCCCTCTCTGCCCAGCTGCCCTGTTTGGAGAGGCTGCCCCCCAGGTAAAGTCAGAGCGTCTGCGAGGGCTGCTGGACCGGCAGCGGGCCCTGCAGGAGGCCCTGAGCCTGAAACTTCAAGAGCTCCGCAAAGTGTGTCTCCAGGAGGCGGTGAGGGCCTGACTAAGGGTGGCCAGTGGGCGGAGTATGAGGGGCTGGAGCCTCTAGCTAGGCATGTGGTGGTAGTTGCTGAGCTACTTGGCTAAGCTGTAGATACCCTGTTACCCTCCAGTTCCTCAAAGCTTAGCTCAGATGTCTCAGAATCAGTAACATAACAGAGGCCCCCAATCCCCTATCAACAATTGGAATTTTAAAGAAACCTCAAAAAACAAAAGCTGTTTCTAAAACTTGGCAGCAAAACCTGACCTCACTGACACTGGGTGATTTATAGTTTCGATTTACCCCTTAGTGTGAATGTCCGTGCAGCTTGCCAGAAATAATAACGTGCCTCAGAGCACGCAGCCCTGCGTGTGAAAGGAAGTGCTGTAGAATGCACACATGTAGACTGTGCCGTCTTTATAAAAAGGAGGAAATTCTGGGCTCGGAAGCAGGTCTCTGTGTTCCTTGCCTGTCGCCCCAGAGATCCGGGCCACTGAGGGAGTGAGTCTCCATTGCACACCTACCTGGTGGAGATTGTGGGAGGAGGAAGAAGCATGACGGGCATGGGGCGCTGAGCAGGACTGAGCTCCCTGTGGGACTTTGGTAGCTTCTGGGTCATTACTGCTTTACTTCATCCCCCCAACTACCCGTGGTAGCCTCTGATCCCTGCTTCCTCCAGGAGCTGACCGGCCAGCTGCCCCCTGAGTGCCCGCTCGAGCCTGGTGAGCGGCCTGGTGAACGGCCCCAGTTAGTCCGCCGGCGGCCCCCTCCCGCCCGAGCCTACCCTCCACCGCACCCCAACCCAGCACACCACTCCCTGTGTCCTACTGAGGTGAGGAGATGGGCACAGAGAACAAGAGGAGATGAGACTGCCATGGAGGAGAAGGAGCCTGGACAGAACACGGAGGGCAGAGTGGGGGGGGCGGTTAGCTCCAGGGAAAGAGTGTGCGATGAGAAGGGAGCCTTCTTGAGGCTCCTGTCAGAATAGACCTCTCACTCCTAGGAAGACAAATAGTTCTAAACAAAACTGCCTCTATTCCCAGAGGGCCTAAGCTCCACCCCCGGGGAATAGACCAGCCCTAGGAAGAGTCGGCCCTGCCTGCAGTGTAGACACATGCTGCAAAGTAGATGGGCTCTTCCCTGGATTTCCAGTCCTCGGTCCCATCCCGTCCTCTTGGGTGGGTCCCGCAGGAGCTGGCTCTGGAGGCCCTGGAGCGTGAGGTGTCCGTGCAGCAGCAGATCGCAGCAGCTGCCCGCCGCCTGGCCTTGGCCCCTGAGCTGAGTGCTGAACAGCGCCGCCGGCGGCGACAGGTCCAGGCCGATGCGCTGCGGAGGCTGCACGAGCTGGAGGAGCAGCTCAGGGACTTCCGGGCCCGCTGCGGCCTCCCGGTGCTCCCACCATCCCAGCCACTGTCCACAGGGACTGTCATCACCACCCAGGGTGTCTGCTTGGGCACACGCCTCGCTCAGCTCAGCCAAGGTGAGCCTGACTCCCCATCGCATTGGTGAAGGTGGGAGAGTGGGATGTAGACAGAACTGGAAGGGCCTGACTAGTAAGAAGAGTTGTACACTGGCTCCCGGGGATGGTGGGGCCTTTGGGAACGGATTGATAGGCACCAGAAAGGTGTGGAACCAAGCCTCTGGGGGTCTGGGACTGAGGGAAAGCTCTGCTCTTGGGAGGGCTGTGGTGGGGAGGAGCTCAGCCCCTGGTGTAAGGGAAGAGCGCCAGTCTCCCCCTTCTCGCCTGCAGAGGATGTAGTTCTGCACTCGGAGAGCAGCTCCCTGTCAGAGTCTGGGGCCAGTCACGATAATGGTGAGGCTTCTGTTCCCCAAACCTGTCCATCCTTTGATGCTCAACCCTCTCTTTCCTCTTCAGCCGCCCCCCCCTTAGCTCCTCTGTCCTGTCCTGTGGGGACCACTCTGTCTTCTTCAGCCCCAGTGTCCACCTTGTCCTCTTCAGCCCTCTGCCTCCCTAGCCCCTACCCTTTGCTTTACCCTTGTTGACTCCTCTCTACTTTTACCCTTCCTCCCAGAGGAGCCCCGTAGCTGCTTCCCTTTGGCAGAGCGCCCCTCACCACCCAAGGCCTGGGACCAGCTGCGGGCTGTATCTGGGGGCAGCCCTGAGCGGAGAACCCCATGGAAACCACCCCCGTCAGATCTTTATGGGGACCTGAAGAGCCGACGCAACTCTGTGGCCAGCCCCACCAGGTGAGGGTGAACCCATTTCCTCTCTTCCCCAGATGCAGGGAGTGGGGTCCTGAGGCTGGCCTGGCAGGAAGGCCTGCTGATGGCTACAGTCTTTAACCTGGCCCTTTTATTTCTGTCTAGCCCCACACGCTCGCTGCCCAGGAGTGCCTCCAGTTTTGAGGGGCGAAGTGTACCTGCCACCCCTGTCCTCACCCGGGGTGCTGGCCCCCAGCACTGCAAGTAAGGAGACTCTGAGGGTGGATTTGGGCACCAGAAGAGGGAAATGTTAGTTTTAACTGGGACCGTTAGGGAGAGCATTATCAAAGAGTATGGGGCATGAGAGACTGGGCTTTGAAAGGTGACTAGGAGTTAGTGGAAAAGAAGGGGAAGGGGACTGAGGAAAAGAAACACCAGAGTTCAAGTATGGGCTTTTTTGCGCATTTTGGACAAGTCAGTTCCCTTTTCTGAATCTCTGTCTCCTCATTGTGAAGTGTGTCTACCTTGGAAAGACATTGTCGGCCAAGTTCTAGCTCACATGTTCTGAGCATTTCCTGCATGTTAGGAGTCAGTATGTGCTATATGTGCTGTCAGCTCATTTAGTTGTCCCGAGACCCCTATGAGGTTTGTGCTGTGGTGGTTCTCACATTATAGATGAGGAAACTGAGGCACAGAGAGGTGAAATAACTCGTCAGTAGACTGAAGGCCTGGTATGGGAACCTGGGCAAGTTTGAATCTGGAGTCTGCTTTTAACTATTATTCCTTACTGTTTCTTGAAGAAAAAAGCTGAAGTACCTACTGCTCCCAGGCTGGGAACAAAACTGAGTCCCCATCCTTGTGGCCCTTGGTGATAGCTTTTGGTGATCCTTACATGTGGTGGGACAGAAAGTTCAAAAGGGTCTTGAATTCTAGACCAAGGGATTACGATTTTGTGGTGGCCAAAGTGGGGGTCTGGGAGAAGGGTCTGAGCAAGGGATGAGAGGTGAGATGAGTCAGAAAGAGCCCTCACTCCCCAGCCCTGCATGTGCTTACATCTCCCTCAGAGCTACTGTCCCAGTGGCCTCCGTGCGTTTGCAGCCCGCCACCCCCAGCCTTTTCATTCTGTGACCTGCCACCATTACATGTATTTTTCTCCTACTTTGTTCTTGAAACAAAAATAATTCTGGGACAGTAATGGTCAAAGTATGAGCACATCTCTACCTTCGTTTATGTACTGCTCTTGTGCTAAGGCGAGCACTATCTTTTTTAAGTTGAGGTGATGGGTTTACAACACTGCATGTGATTTAGGGAGCAGGCTCACACCTCCTCCATATATACCACCTTCGTTCACACATGCAGTTCTAATCCTGGGCCCATTTTGCAGATGGGAAAGTAAAGGCTCAGAAAGGGAGGGTACTCATTTTGTCTGCCTGGTCGCTCTGACCCTACTCCCATCAACCACCTCCTCTGCCCCCAGACCTGAAGGCCTCCATTCTCGCCAGTGGTCCGGCAGCCAGGACTCCCAGATGGGCTTCCCCCGGGCGGATCCTGCTTCCGACCGCGCCTCCCTCTTTGCCGCTCGCACCCGTCGTAGCAACAGCTCCGAGGCCCTGCTGGTGGACCGAGCAGCTGGTGGGGGAGCTGGCTCCCCACCTGCACCTCTAGTTCCCCCTGCCACTGGCCCCCCAGTCTGCAAAAGCAGTGAGGTGCTGTATGAGCGCCCCCAGCCAACCCCTGCCTTTTCCTCCCGCACAGCTGGCCCCCCAGACCCACCCCGGGCTGCCCGGCCTAGCTCAGCTGCCCCTGCTTCCCGTGGGCCTCCCCGGCTCCCACCTATGTGTGGGGACTTTCTCTTGGACTATCCCCTGGACCGGGGCCTGCCCCGAGGTGGTGGGGCAGCCTGGGCAGAGTTGCTACCTGCAGCTGAGGTCCCAGGACCCCTCTCCCGCCGGGATGGCTTCCTCGCCATGCTCCCAGGCCCACCACCTGTATATGCAGCTGACAGCAGCAGCCCCCTCCTCCGCAGCAAGGACCCCCACACCCGTGCCACCCGCACCAAGCCCTGTGGCCTGCCTCTGGAGGCTGCCGAGGGTCTGGAGGTGCATCCAAATTCTCTGCTGTGGATGCCCCCACACACCCGCGTCCCCCCAGCTGGTGAACGCAGCGGCCACAAGAGCCTTGCCCTGGAGGGGCTGCGGGACTGGTACATCCGGAACTCGGGACTGGCTTCGGGGCCCCAGCGCCGGCCTGCACTCCCCCACATGGGTCCGCAACACCCACCCTTCCTCCATGCCCGCTGCTATGAAGTGGGCCAGGCGCTGTATGGGGCCCCCAGCCAGGCACCGCTCCCGCACTCAAGGAGTTTCACGGCGCCCCCTGTCTCTGGCAGGTATGGGGGTTGCTTTTACTGATGGGTTGGGTTCTCTTGAGGCAGATGGCAAAAGTACCCAGGCCAGAGAGCAGCTAGTTGTGATAGCTGATGACTTGGAGTAGGGGAGAGCTCATGTGGGCTTGGCATAGGGCCAGCGGGCTCTGGCCACCCCACATTAATCCGTGGGCTCACATTGGAGGGGTGTCTTGGCGCTCACAGCGTCCTCTCCCAAGCTAGGGAAGAGTTGTAATGCATGTCAGCTGGAAAGGAGCCTTGAAACCAGGTGCTGAGAGGAAGGGCCAGCTGTCCACCTCGCCTTTCTCTTCTTCCTCTCACTGTGCCCCACACTTGAGAGCCCAAAGGAGCTGTCCTGTGCCTGCTTCCACCTCTTTAACGAGCCTCTTTTCCTCTCTCTCTGTGTGTTGTCCGTCTTTTCCTCTCTCCTGTCTTCCCACCCTGTCCTCCGGATTCCTGCTACCCCTCCTAAAGATACTACGCGGACTTCCTGTACCCCCAGGAGCTGAGCGCTCGTTTAAGTGACCTGACGCTAGAGGGGGAGCAGTCCTCCACTTCTGACCCCCAGACCCCGGGGACACTGGTCTGACCCCTGCTGATATGCTCCTCGCTGGCCTGGGCATGAGTCCAGTCTGAGGAGCACACAGCTGACTGCACTGAGCCCTGGGGTGTGGTTGCTCTCAGTCCTCGGGGCGCCAACCTGATCTTCTCAAGCCCCTGGCTCAACGTGGGCCCACAATGCTGTCTAATGCCCCACTTCTCTTCTCACACTGTGCTGGGACTGGGGGCCCTCGGACAGCCTAAAAAAGGGGGGGGATGACGTCATGGGGACTCCAAGGCCCTTCCTCCATTTCTGTTTACAGTTGTGATTTAGGTCTTCACTGTCTTCCCCCAACACTAGACATTTTGTAAAAGGGAAACTGTGATCTCTTCCTGGTTGGGTTCATTCCTATGCCCATGCCCAGCCTACTCCATATAGGAGCCCCCTCCACAAAATGGACCATATGGGGTCTCAGGGCCCTGACTGGGGCAGCCAGGGACCCTGGTGTGAGCAGTACTCCCCGCCATCTCCCACTGGGGCAGTTTTTAGGAAGATGGGCCCGCTGTCCACATTTGGAAGAACTCAAGTCTGGGTGGGGGGTGGGGGGCTTGGGTTCATCTCCCCCAAGGGGTGCCTAAAGGAGCCCTGGTCCCTGTCTGCCTGTCTGTGCCCGCTGCCTCTGCCCATAGGGCGAGATGGCCCAGCCTTTGGTGGCAGTCTCTGCCCTGACTGTCCCCAATCAGAAGCCCCGCAGGAGGACCAAAGGGCAGAGCTGTTGGGTGTGTTGCATCCTGAGATGCCGCGGTGGTGGAAGCTGGCACCTATTAGACGCCAGTAAAATCCTCAGGTGACATCTGGCCACAGGCTACGTCACGTCTTCCTTGGCTTTCTTTCCATCCACCACTTTTTAAACAAATCTACACAAGCTGTGTTTTCTATACCTGTCTGTGACTTTCTGGAGCTGGGGGTCCCCCTACCCCCTTTACCTGGTGTTAAACTTTTTTTTTTGTACCAATGGATCTGGGCCCAGTACACTACCCACACTGGAAGGGGATTTCTATAATAAATGTGTAAACTGAACCCATATGTTGTTCCTTTAAATGCCACACCTCAGGGGGCCACACCTTTGGCTAAGATCAGATAACATATTTGTACAAGAAAAAAAAAAGGAGCTCGGGAGAAACAGCCTGTGATAACGCCATCCGCCATCCATCCGCTTTGGCTTCTTTACTTGCTCTGTGGTGAGGCAACTTCTTTGCTTATGTGCACCCAGACCCCAGCCCCTCCTGAACAAGAGCCCTTAGTGATAGGCGATAAGAAATGTCCTTGTCCTTAATTGCCTGTGAGGTTCCAGGAATGGGCTGGGCCACTCCTTCAGTGCACATGTCTGACAGGGTCCCAGTGTGGGAAAGTCCACAGAAGTGAAAGGCAGACTGCCACTTCTAGCCATGGAAACACGCAGAGTACTCAGGAGGCCCAGACTGGCTTGAACAATGCCAGAAGCTTTATTGTTGCGGCAACACTGATACATATGCCCCACCCCTTGGCTTACTGCCACGCCACCTCACCTCTTGGTCCTCAGCACGGGGCGCTTGGGGGAGGGGCAGAACCCCCTGGCAGAGCCAGCTGGAGGCTAGTGGTACTGGTGTTGGGGTCATCTGGGCCCAAAGGTTCAATGGGGTCAGAATATCTAAGTCTTCCCCCTAGATGGGAGCTGGGAACACCTGGGTCTGGGGTGCAAGATTTGGCAATGCCTTGACCTGGATTCAAAGCTGGCGTAGTGTCTAGAAAACTCTTGGCTCAGGGTGCAAGATTTGAGCCTCCCATTTCCTAGATCCCAGTTTTGGTGCTAGCATGGGAGATGAGTGGGTCCCAAACTGGGGTTGGAAGGAGTGTCTCTGGGTCAGCTTTGAGATGGGCCATGGGTGCTCTGGTCTCCAAACTGGCTTTGGGTCCCAAGCTCAGGGCTAGAGAAGACAGATCCCTTAGGTAGTGACTGGTTATGAAGGATATGAGGGAATATTATCCCAGTTTTAGACTTGGAGAGAGGGTCACAGCTGTCCTGCTTTCTGAACTGGGTACGGGATACCTCTGTAAAGGCTAGGAAGGGCTCTGGGTCCCCAGTATGGGTATGCAGGGGGTAGTATTCTCCAGTATTTGGGTCCAGATCCCAGGGCCTTAAGATCCAGCCTCCTGCTCTTGTCCCAATGCTTCCAGCAGAAGCCCCATTGGCGTCCGCTTGAGTCCAATGCTTTCGATTTTGTTCTCTATCTTGTTCTTGAGGTTGCGCAGGCGCAGTGAGGCGTGCACCAGGATCACTGTAGACAGCAGGAGGAAAGTGGGGTCAGTGGGATGGGATGTTGGCCTTTAGCCAAATGGGGCCCACAGAGGGGAATTGGGGCACAGATGGGCCAAAGTAGGCAATGTCCAGGACGCCTGATGTATTGTGTGGCTGAGTAGCATACTTTGCCAAAGGGGCATGGTCAAGAAGGGCACAAAGGCCTGTGGATGAGGGCCTGGGGAAGGGCATGAACACCAGTGGTGAGGCCCAGAAAGGCAGAAGTGAAAAGGATGCCCCCAGTAGGGCGGAGAAACCAGGGAAGGCATCTGTGCAGGGGTGTGACCTTGCCTGCAGTGTGTCCCAGGGCCCCCTCAGCCCAGAAACCAGGTTTGAGCTGGCCGTTCTCCCGGCTGTAGGCCATGGAAGGGTAGTGGAGTGACTCACCAAGCACTGGCCCAGCAATGCTGAGCAGGAAGGTACCAGCGCCACCCACGGCCCAGAGGACGAGAAAGCTGACCACCAGCACTGTGGCCAGGCAGGCAGCGGGGTGGCTACGGCGGCATCGGCGCACAGCTGCTTGGGTCTCAGCGGCCCATACCAGCATGCCAAGGGCCACCACTACTACCAGTGCGCTTAGGAGGGTGTGAAGCGGGCGCATATACCTGCAGGAACAATGGAACTAAGTTAGCCAACCGGGCAGGTGGGGGAGGGCTGGCAGGCCTTGGAGTCCTGGATCATGGTTCACCTGGATCGGGCCCAAGAGCTTTGGTCCCATCCCTGCAGACCTTCTAGCCCAGGAAATACTCCTGCCAGCCCTGTGTCCAGCTGGTCTAGTCTCCAGAGCTTCCAACTCTCAGGCTCCGTCTGTACTCATTTCTTCCCCATCAGTCCTCCAGCCCCAACTTCCTTAGATGCCCCAGTTAGGTCCTTCCATCCCTCTAGGTCCTCAGGCTTCCAGCCCTTCCCTGTGCTTGCCTTCTAACTCCACTCCCGCAGGACCCGTCTGCAGTTCCTTCACCCCAACCCACCCCAACCCACCCCAACCCATACAGCCCTGTTTCAGGGCTTGTCTCCATATGTTTCCCTCTCCCCTGAGCGTCCTTATAGGACGCTCCTTCCAGGCTTCCTCTCCTGACAGTTCTCCCCCCCTTCCCACTTTCCTACAGATTTGTTTGTCCCAGTGTAACTGGTAGACCGCTTCCAGGCTCTCCCACCCACTCTTGATTCCCCACCCTGCCCAAGTCCCTCCTCCAGGTTCTCTGTCCCTCTATGGCCTCAGCCCTTCCATCCCTGGGTCCTCCCCTCTTGCCTCAGTTTCCCCAACAGGTACCTGCATCTGTGCCTTCAGTCACAGCATCTCTCCAAGGCCAGAACTTACACAAGTCCACCCTCCACACACCTCAACCTGACCACATCCCTGCTCTGGGCTCTGCCCTAAGTCCTCTAGGGCTTCCTCCATGTGGCCCCATCATTCACATGGCCCACCACCCCCCAGGCACACTCATGTCCCACTTTTAGGCTTTCTGTTACCTACAAGTCCACCTTTCTAACCACTTTCCCCTTCAGTTCCACACTTTCTCGGTCCCTCTCTGCCCCCCTCAGTCAGGCTCTATCCTAGGCCCTCCTCACAATCAAGTCCCACTTCTTCAAGTCCCCCCCCCCCTTCCATGCCCATCAGGCTTTCCATCTCTGCTCTACGCACTATTCCAGGTCTTGCAACCCCCACCCCACCACCTCCCAAGGTTACTCCTTCTGGGCCTCAAAACCAGCAGGCCCACCCTCCGTGCCCTGCAGGCGTCCCAGGCAAACCGGCGCCTCCCTTCCTCCCTCACCCGGCCAGAGCGAGACCGAAGCCGAAGCAGAGGAGATAGTTGGTTTGGTAGTAGAGGAGGTTGTTGATGACGCGGTGGCACCATCGCTGCGGGTCGCACGGATCCGGGGCCACCAGACGCGCCGACCCCAGGACGAAGTCGTCTAGGGCGCGTAGCGGCGGCAGCCGCACCTCCGACATCCTGCCAATGGATGTAGCTGGACCAACTAGAAGAGCGGCCCGACTACAACACCCGCTACCCCGCGCACCGCCGCGGGGGACACCGGGAAATGGAGTCCGACCAAAGCAAACCGCTCAGACGCAGCAGGGCACGTGACCGAAACGAAAGCACCGCGCCGGAACTGTAAACGCAGGGGCTGGTGGGAAATCAAGTCTTCGTCTCTGCCGAGCAGAGCGGTTGTTTTCGCCTGGGCGGGGACACTAAGGGGGCGGGGCGGGGGGTTGTTGGGGGCGGGGGGACGGTTCCCGGCCCTGCTGGCAGCTCAAGTGTACTGTAGCCAATTGCCAGACTGAAGAGGACTCACAGAGATAGCAGCAAGGACCCCATTTCCTCCCTGTCACTTCTTCCCTTTCCCTGGCCTCCAGCAGGGCCTTTTCAGCTTCATCTTATCTAGGAGACCACCCCCCTCCATTTAGCCATAAATACTATTTAGGGTCTTTTATTCATTTTTGTCACATCAGAGATCTCTGACAAGTTTTTAAAAACCCTACAGGTTGGATTAGGGCTCTCCCTCTGGGTCCCTGGACAGTCTTCTCCAGGCTGGGGGCCCCCGGGGTTGGCTGCCTCCCTGGGTTCCTGGCTGGCACTGTGGGCACACGGGAATAGAGGACACATGGTCATCAAAATTTCTTGGTGGACACGAGCTGTTTAGACATTGCTTTGCTGAGTGGAGGGTGGATACCCGCTGCATTAACGCTTGCTGGCCGGCGGCTTCCACAGGACTCCAACCCTCCCTCAAAGGCTTTGTGATTTGCAGTTGCGGGTTCCTAGCACAAACCCCAGGGTCCTTAAAAGTCATCATCATCACAGATGTCGAGGTACACATCGAAAGCCTCTCTGTTGCAGTTCCCATCAGGAGTGAAGACGTATTTGTGGAAGGTCCCATCTACACAGATGGCTGGAGGAGGGGAGGATCAGTAAAAGATTAGAGGCTGCTGAAGCCACACACGCTAATCCTCAGGTGTCCCGTGGCCTAGGGTCTACCTCTAGGCCTTTGCCTGTATGTCATCCCTCTTTATCCATTCTAGCTCCCTTAGGCTTCCCATACCCTAAATTTCTTCCAGATCCAATTTGCAGGTCTTTGTCACGTAATACCCCTCAACCAAGGGCTATCCACTCACCAATGACAGAGTTGACATTCTTAGAAGTATTGCGACCGAAGGCACAGATGCAGGCTGACTCAGCAGGCACGGTAAAGCTTGCCAGGCTCCACTGAGAGTCCACATACTGCCCGATCATAGGCCCCACTTTGCCCACACGAGCCAGCCTGCAGGTAGCATTGGGTAAGCCCAAGTGTGGGGCATGGGTAGGGGGATGGAGGAGAGGTAGGGTGGGGTATGAGTACTCACGCAGAGCGGCGGTTGAGGCGGGTATCTTTGAGAGCAAAGATATGGACGGTGCCCTTATCACTGGAAGCACACAGGAAGGAGGAATCATGGCTGAAGTTGATGCTGGAAGACAGACCAGCAGCGTCACTCACATGTCATGTGGCACCGGGCCACCAGCCACCATGAGGCCCTGTGCTCACCAGTAGAGGGTGGCGGGGTCAGTGCCTCGACGCAGCTCCACCAGTTTCTCCTTGGACTGGGTGTCAAAAAGGCGAATAAGGGTGCCCTTCTGGGAGGCTGAGGCTACTACAGTGCCTGGCTGGTTCAGGGACACGCAGGCCACATCACTCTGATGTGCATTAATGGTAAAAGGAGCAGATGACGTGCCAGGCTTTGTGCTGGCCAGGTCCTACGGTGGAAGGAGTCGTTTGGGCTTGGGGTAGTATGCAACAGGGGCCAACAGTTCATATGGAGAGCCAGCTCACCCCCCAACCCATCCTTGCCCGCTGGGAGGCTCACCACAAGTTGCAGACTCCCGCACTTGTGTCCTGGGAACACCAACAACTGCTTCTCCAGGCTGGGGCAGAGGTCACAGAGCCCTAAGTGTGGGGATGAAGAGGGGTGGGACAGTGAAGGGGAAATAGGGAAAGTGGACATAGCTGGATAAGGGCTAGACTTGCACCTTCCTGATACATGTTACCCACAGAATCCTAAGAGCTTGCCTCAGCAGTGTGCCTGGCCAGCAAGGCAGAGTCCCTTCCTCCTTCTGCAGTGATGACAGCCCCAAGAGGACCCGACAAACCCACGCATGTCCTTTCTAGGTGTTTCTGCACTGCTATCTGGGGCACCCAGAGGTGGGGCAGGGCAGAGGGTGGGAAGATGGAACTGGTTAAGGGACTGAAAGCTGGAGAAACTGGGAGCGTGAGTATCTGGGCCCTGTTTACTGCCTTCTGCTCTTACACCCAGGTCTCCTCACCTTTGGGGTTGTCCCGGGTATCAAACTCAAACAGCTTTCGGGGATTGTCAGGGAAGGAGTACACATAGATGCGGTTCCTCAGCACGATGACGATTCTGTGGGCATCACACAACACAGGGTAGCTGTGAGCAGAGGACAGGATGCCCAGGTGGGACTAACCGTCTTGCCTGCTTTGGGGACCTCCTACCTCCCCCTGCCCCATAGGTCTTCCTCAGGCTCACTTGTCATGGCGCATGCGCACAGCCAGCACTGGCTTGGTGAAGGTGAACTCCAACACCAGCTTTTCCTTGGAGTCCTTGCCCTCCCGGGCGTCGTCCCAGATCAGCACTGCTGGGCAGGTGGGTACATTGTGGGGGCCAAGGTTTAAGGTGAGGGGCAGCTCTGGTGACATGAGACACACCCCTAATCCCCATGGGACCTCAACCCACTTGTTAGCTTTTTGCTAACACCCAAGGTGAACTTCAGGCATCATGGGCAGTTGCGTCCAAGATTTCTGAGAGAACAGGTTCTAGTACTGTTATACCCACTTACAGATGAGGTTACTGAAGAGTATCTGACCAAGGACAACTAAGCCCATGGGCAACTAAGTAGGGCCTGATAGCTAACCCTGTAACTATTTCTTCCTTGAGGCTCTTACCTAACCTATAACCCTGAAAGATTTCTGTGAGGAATACTAGGGCTCTGGCCTAAAGGCATCTCTTGCCATGTCCCAGTGGGATCAACAAAAACCATTAAAACATAATGGGTTTGGGCCCTCCCTGATGGTGCAACCAGACCCAGAAAAGCACAGCACTGTAAAGCTATCAGCAACCACTGCACAAGTTTGACCCCCAGCCAGGGAGCTGACCCACATGGCGCAACAGACCTCTCCTGACCTGCCTGCTGCTCCCCTCAGCAATGTATTTCAGTCAATCGACCTGCTCTGCTCCCCATTGTCTCTGGGGAATCCTTTTTTTTTTTTTTAGAGTTATATATATATATTTTATTTTTTTATTTTAATTATTACAAAAGTTTATTTTTACATCATTTTGCACTTTTTTTTTCCATCTCGATAGTAATCCCCGAGGGTTTCCCATCACCAAATCACCCGTGTGCCACCACCATAGTCCCGTACATTTCCCTCCCTTCCCCCCCCCGTTTTTGATCCCATTCCCCACTCCACCTCTGGGGAATCCTTTTAACCCCCACCCCTGCACCTCTGGCCTGTACCCCAGTTCTTGTGAGCATAAATAAGTAAATACTTTTTTTAAATGGGTTTAAGTTTGATGATGGCACATGGGTGATTTGGTGAAGAAAAGCCCAAGGGGATTACAACTGAGATAGAAATAGGCACAAAATAATGTAAAAAAAAACAAAAACAAAAACAAAAACATGGGTTTAAGACTCCAGGCAAGAGGATGGCAGGGAGAGGCTCCACAAGATTTTTTTTTTTTTAAGATTTATTTATTTATTCGTACGGAATGGGGGTACAGGCCAGAGGCTCAGGGGAGGTGAGAGGCTTCACCAGAGACAGAGTGGGGAGCAGAACAGGCAGATGGACGAAGTACACTGCTGAGGGGAGCAGCGGGCGGGTCAGGAGAGGTCTGCCGCACCATGTGGTCTCCTCCGGGGCAGGCGGGAATCGAACTCATGCGGAAGTGACTTTAGCTTCTCAGTGCAGTGCTTTAACCCGCTGCGCCACCAGGGAGGGCCCTCCATAAGATTTTAACCCTATTGTTTGTGGCCTTGGATAAGTCACTTACCCTCTCTAGGTTTATCTATAAACATTGAGATGATGGTATTTCCTATCACACTGAATTACTATGTAGATTAAATGAGTTAATACACATAAAGTGCTTATCACAGCACCAGGCCAACAGTAAATGCTCAGTAAGCAAGGGCATGCATACCAGAGGCATTCGGTTTTTTAAGCAAAGACAAAACATCAAGCTTCTCAAGCTTTAAGATCCATGACTTCCAAGCTGTAGGCCTCCCTGTGTGACTCTGAGGCACTGATTTCATTTGCCAGTTCCTTGGGGTGCCTGGGGGCGGCCAGAGCTCCAAGGAATCTGGGCTAAAAGCAGAATGATGAGGGCACTTACCTGAGATCTCTGAGAACTTGGGGCTGCTACCACCACCTACTAGGGCCAACAGGTTGGAGCGGTGCAGCATCTCCACCAGGCCCATGCTGCCCACCTGTTCGTGGTCTGGACAAGGATGGGTATCAGTAGGGGCGGGAAATGATGCCAGCCCTGCCCTTCTGCCCACTCCCGCCTCCCAGCCCCCCAACATGGCTCACCCAGATGCCCTTTCTCCATCAATGGCTCCACATTGTAGATGCGCACACCAGTCTCCATGGCGCAGCAAAAGCAGCCTGGGGGATGAGAGGTTTCAGGCTGCCTCAGAGGATGCCCAGGTGGGAAGCTCGGGGCTCAACACATACCTCTGGTTTCTCATTCCCTCCCTCCCACATGAAACCTTTCTCACTTTGGTCTTGGTTGAAACGCAGGCTGGTTACTCCTCGAAGAGGCTGTTGAGTCATGGTCCAGGATTGCTTCCCTGGACACAAATGGGGTAGGATTGGGAAAAGTCCTGAGGTCTACCCTCTGGGTCTACCCTCCTAGAAATTCTGTCCCTAACAGATTTCTTCTTCCTCTCTGCTATCTACTAACTCCAGCAAGACTGCAAAGACAAAAGGAGGGGAAGAAGACTGGGTCTCCCAGGGCCCCAAACAGCAGATGGCCAGAAACCTCCCCATCTTCTCAGTCTTGCCTGACCATAGCTCCAGGCCTACCCTGACCTGGACCCTCTATTTTCTCTGTACTTGCTGGCCCTCATGGCTTGTCAGGAAGTAATGGGGCAGGGGGTGCCCCAGTAATACCTCCTTCCTACTCCTGGCTAATCCTGGCCCCAATATCCAGCATGGCCTGAATCCACTCCCACCCACTTCTCATCTTCACACCTGGACACCAAATCCACCTGTCAATAAACAGGGGAAAGGTCATCCACCTCTTCCTGTGTCTTCCTGACCTGCCCCCAAGACCTGCTATGGTTGGTCCACCACTCTTGGGAATTCCCCAATCATGCCTGTCTGACCCTCCCAGCAACCCATGAAGCAGCTCACAGCTCCCCACTTAACAGGCTCCCTCAAACCTCTTTAGGATCCCATGTTTATCTTGGGACAAACTCTTCTCAGGGCATGCTAACGTTTGCCCAACCAGTGACAACTCAGATGTTCCCCCAGATCCTCTTAAGACCTCGAGACCCTGCCCCAGGAGTCCCCTATCACTAAATCCCCCACCCCTGGAACACCCCCTTCCATGTGCTCTGCTGTCCATACTCCCGACAACAGGGTGACTCAGACCCATTCCTAGGAATCCCATCCCCCTAAGTGTCCTCCTCCAGACCCTCTGTACTCAGCCAAGACCCCTTTCAAGACCCTTGTTCAGGACACACACCTCCCAAAATATCTACCAGGGACGACTTATTTGCCCCCCAAGACAGGTACCTGCCCTGGAACTCCCCAAGATTCATAGGGCAGATTCCTGTCCTAGAGTCCTCATACTCCCTGAAAACTCCCATCTCCCCCAAGACCTTTGCTCACACACGCCCCCTTCCCATCCTCCAATAGCCCAAGATTCCTACCTCCCCCCAACCCCTGTGCCACCTCCAAAAGCACTGTCTCATTGGACAGCCCCACCTTCCAAAACTCCTTCTTTGCATTCCCATTCCAAAGATCCTCGTCACCCAAAAGCCCTGCCGCGGGATGCCTCACACACCCTCCCCCCACCCAGCTTCCTCGGGTCCAGGACAGCCTTTATACTCCTGCTAACCGGGTCCAGGACAGCCTTTATACTCCTGCTAACCGGGTCCAGGACGGCCTTTATACTCCTGCTAACACCAGCACCCACTCAAGATCCCTGTCCCAGGACACCCCCCAATCCACCAAGACCTCTGATCAAGAGACCCCAAGTCGCCCTTAGACCCCAACGAATTTTAAGATCATGTCCCAGCTCCCCGTCACTGCACTGACCCGACCTCTGTGCGTCCCCGATCCCAGTCCCGCTGTCGGTGCCGCCCGCGGCCCGGCTTTCTGACCTCCCGGGCCCAGACGCCCGGCTTCAGTGTTTACATCAGGTCTCACTTCCGGGGGAGGGAGCCTGTGACCGGAAATGACTCACCCAGGCCGGAAAACGCCGCCGCCGCCCTGCTAGCCCAGCTTTTGGGTGTTTGGTGCTTGCCGAGTAGTGATTGCTGTGTCCGCCTAGGAGGGGGCGGGGAGCGGAGTTGGCTCCACCTGGGCATGGCTAGCTGAAGCCCTGGGGAGCGGTGGGCGAGAGAGTCTGCCCTTCCCGGTGCTGACAGAGGCTCAGTATCGCCCAATTCGGTCCTTCTGTGAGAGCCAGAGGCGGTTCACCTCAGCTAACAAGTCTAGGATCTAAGGGGGGGCTAGAATGACCGCCCCCCGGCAGCGAGGTGTCAGCCTCCCAGGCGCCTAGAGGGGCATCTCCGGAGGCTCGGGCCAGGGACAGACCTAGAGGCCTTGAAGGATGAGTCCCCTGAGTTAAGGGAAGCTAGCGATGGAATTTTCTATTTTCCCTCCCCATTCTCCCACTTTGATTTAGTTTTAAAAGATAAAAAAAAATCTACTCATGGTTGGAAGTATGAATGTTTACTGGGGAAAAAAGATTCCAATCAGGTACATACTGGAAATATTTTAAAATTCAGCTTCTAATTTTTGAGAAAGCTGTACACTCACATGTGGTATTGAAAAGGGCACAGAGAAATCTGTCAAAGTTAATCCTTCAGTTCTTTCAAGTATTGTTTTCATCCTCTTTTTTAAAATCTTAATATTTAATGGGCATCTGTGTATTCATGCTTTTCAACGGATTCATGGCATTCCGTGGTATAAACGTAGCACTGTTCACCTGTACCTTTATTGATAACCATGCGACTTGTTTCTGTCATCCATGGACATGTTTATCAGTGAACTCTGGCCCCTCAGTCTCCTGGATGCGACTCCATTATTACGCTTCTCAGCAGAATCAAGCTTGCTTCTACTTCCTCATGTCCCAGACAACATTTAACTTCATTCAGCTTGGCTTCTGTCACTCCCGTATCTCTGAGACTGCTCTAAACCAAATCATGTACAGATAATCACCTTTTCAAACCAGCAATCACTTTTCTACCCTTCCCTCTAAGGCCACTGCTTTCCACAGGTGTTTTTATTCTCACTCTCTTGGTTTTCTGTTACAAGTCTGACCACCTAGATCCAATTTCCAAATATTGATGTCTCGAGTATGATCCTGGCCCCCTTACTATTGTAACTAATATTCTCTTACCAGGTGATTTCATCTTGTGTCTTAGCATTTATTATTGTAAATATTTGGAATACCCATTAATTTGGACCTCTCCTCTAGCACCTAAGCCTTATGTATGCCATGGCCTACTTGCTATAGCCATGTTCTTGCAGATGTCTCATAAGGCATCTCAACCACCTATCCAGACAGGTCACTTGAATTCCCCTTGCTCAGACACCCTCCTGGCTCCCTCATCTCAACCAATGGCTCTACAACACCTATTTTGTGCCTCAAGTCAAAGAGCAGGTATTTCCAATTTGATTCTTCTCTGTTAATGGCAAATTCTGTGTCCTCTGTCAAAAGGTGTCACAAATACAGGCCCTCCCTGGTGGCACAATGGGTTAGGACACAGCACTGCAAGCTGGCCATAGCCATTTCAGTGCGAATTCTATCCCCAGCCCCAGAGGTGACCCACATGGCGTGGCAGACCTCCCCTGACCCGCCCACTGCTCCCCTCAGCAGTGTACTTGGTCGACCTGCCTGTTTAGCTCCCCACTCTGTCTCTAGTGAGTCCTCTCAGTGCTCCTGCAACTCTGGCTTGTACCCCAGTTCTGTATGCATAAATAAATAAATATTTTTTTAAAGTGTCACAGATGCACCCAGTTATTCATGCAGTTTCAGTTGTTTTTTTTTTACCCTCACATGAAAAAAACCAACCTCCCTGCCCCCCCCCAAAAAAAAAGAAAAAAAATCACAAATAAAAAAAATACCCAGAGAAAATACATGAAACTAGTTTTCAAGACATAGGCATGAAATCAGTAATCCCTGAGAAATGAGAAACAAGATGAGCCCTCCAATTGCCCCAGGATACCCCCGGAGACTTTTCATGCTATGGCACAAAAAGAGGAGACAGACTATTCTGGTGGCCTCTCTATGCTGAGATAGTCCAAGGACAAGGACAGCAGGAGTCCAAAGAACATCATTAGGGAGCAGTACAGACAGAGAACAACAGAGATTTGCACAGTATACCCCCTGATATCAGGTAAGTGCACCCATATGAACATGCGTGGGAGGCAACTACCCAAGACCAGGAAAGAACCACCCAAATGGATTAAAGATAACAGGGCCTGGCACTCACACAGCAGAGAATAGTGCCTATCCCCCCCAGCCTGACTGGGAAAATTCATAATTCTCAGTACAGAGTACATAGGAAGGTCTTGCCTTAATTGCAGTAATTAGTCTTAAGCTTAGTACCCCTCCAGACCCACTTAAGAAAGAAAGACCCTGAGAGATCAAACTGTTTCCAAGTAATCTGATGATCTCAGTATAAAGATCAGGAAGCTGTTTTTACAATTAAATGTATTTATTTATTTACATTTTTAAAATGAGAAGGATTAATATACTCATTTATTTATTTTAATTTTTGTACTGGGGTACAGGCCAGAGGTGCAGGAGATGAGAAGATTCACCAGAGACAGAGCGGGGAGCAGAACAGGCAGACTAAGTACACTGCTGAGGGGAGCAGCGGGTGAGACAGGAGAGGTCTGCTGTACCCTATGTGGGTCAGCACCCTGACTATAGATGGAACTCAGGCCCTAGATGTGATAGTGCTGATCCTTAACCCCTCAAGCCACCAGGGAGACCCCATCTTTGTTATGTTTGTACAGTTTTTTTTTTTTT